GCTATGACTATTTATCAAATCGTTGAAACCGGTCAACTCAACCCATTTTTTGGTCTTTTGAGCTTTTCCAGAGGCCAAAATAACACGTCAAAACCACCTAAATGAATTGATTTAGGTTAAGGGTCAATCCATCACCAAATCTAAATATGGACCTTAACCTAAACCCAAGTTGATGCCCAAAAGCTAAATCTGTCAAATAAACATAATTTGTGCCCAACTCTAAATATGGACATTAGCTTAAACCCAAATTTATGACAAACCTAAATTTTCCAACTAAAACCTAACTTGTTCTCAATTGTAAATATGGACCTTAGTATAAACCCAAATTGATGCCAAAAACCTAAATTTGCTGATCAAACCCCAGCTTTACCCAATTGTAAATATGGACCTTTTTTTCCTGAGGCTCCATTTGGAAGGAGTACAAATACAAATATTTAGAGCGCAAAACCTTATATTTTGTATTATTTTGTATGGATTTGTACTGTACAAATTTGTATTTGTACTCCTTCCTAACTAAGCCTAAATACAAATTGATGCCAAAAACTAAAATTTGCTAACCAAAACCTTACTTCTGTCCAATTCTAAATATGGACCTTAGTGTAAACCCAAGTTGCAGCCAAAGGCCTAAAATTAAAGCTCAATAACAAAAAAATAAAATAAAATTATTTTCTACTATTTTATATGTAAAGAACTATAAATAAATAAAAACTATGGTGAATCACTGTTACTTCATTTTCCTTTAACAAAATGCATTTTTGAACAATAGCTCGCATGAACCTCATTCTCATCTCATTTCTTACACATGCAGTTATTTATTTTTAAATTAAATGATAGAAAACATAAAAAATCAGAATTAAAAACCTCTCGAGTCTCGATTGTCTCTAATAAAGTCGAGCATTACTCTCTTCAATAAATAATTCTTAAAACTCTCTCTCTCTCTCTCTCTCTCCCCCCAATTCTCAACCCTTTCAGCTCTCAATAAATTAAATGGATTGGATCAGGTTAAGGGCCAATCCATGACCAACTCTAAATATGGACCTTAGCCTCAGCCCAAATTGATGCCAAAGGCATAAACTTGCTCACCAAAACCTAACTTGTGCCCAACTCTAAATATGGACCTTAGCCCACTCCTAAATTGATGCTAAAAACCTAAAATTTTCAACCAAAACCTAACTTATGCACAACTCTAAATATGGACCTTAGCCTACACCCAAATTAATGCTAATAGTTGAAACTTGTCAACCAAAACCTAACTCCTGTCTAACTCTAAATATGGACTTTATCCTAAACTCAAATTGATGCACGAAACCTAAATTTGAAACTTAATAAAAAAATTTATTATTTCTACTATTTAATATGTAAATAACTATATATATATTTATTTATACTTTCGTGAATCAATTTTACTTCATTTTTCCTTAAAAATACATTTTTCAAACCCACAACAACTTACATGAACCTCCTTCACTCATTTCTCAAACATGTGGTTATTTGTTATTTCTCAAACATGTGGTTAAGGGCCAATCTATGACCACCTCTAAACAAGAACCTTAGCCTAAACCCAAATTGATGACAAAAACCTAAATTTTCCAATCAAGCTAATTTATACTCAACTCTAACTATGGACCTAACCTAAACCCAAGTTGATGCCAAAACCTAAATTTCCCAACTAAAACCTAGCTTTTGCCTAACCCTAAATATGGACTTTAGCCTATATCCAAATTGATGCCAAAAATTAAAATTTTCCAACCAAAACCTAACTTTTGCCTAACTCTAAATATGGACTTTAGCCTAAACCCAAATTTATGCCAAAAATCTAAATTTTAAGCTCAATAACTAAAAAATGAAAAGAAAATATTTTTTTACTATTTTATATGTAAAGAACTAGAAATATATAAAAACTTTGTTAAATCATTATTGCTTCATTTTTACCTTAAAAATACATTTTTTTTTTGAAGAGTAGCTCACATGAACCTCTTCCTCTCATCTTATGCATGTGGTTATCTATTTATAAATTAAATAATTAAAATATAAAAAGTTAAAAATAAAAACCCTCTTGAATCTTAATTATCTCTAATAAATTCAATAATTACTCTCTTCAATAAGATTATTCTTAAAACACACACATATATACATATTCTCTAGATCTCTCAATTTTCAACCCCTTCTTGCTTTCAACAAGGCCATGCTCTTTTTTTAGATTTTGAAGGAGGGGGAGGGGGGGAAGTTGGTTAATGGGATTGTGGTTCCCATTAACTGATTTTCCCATATTCCTTTTTACAAATTAATGTAGGACCCATAAAAAAGTCATTTTCCTTGGGTATTACTTACTTGTGTAAGTGATAATGGGTAACTTTCCCACTTGGCCAGAAAGTTGCCAACACATGATGGGATAATATTGTCCCATATAATTCTATATTTTTAAGGGTAAAATGGTTATTATCTCACTTGGGAAATAAAATAACACAAGTAAATGTGTTGGGTAAATGGCCAAAAGAAAAAGAAATGGAGCCTAAATTAAATGGATTGGGTGAGGTTAAGAGCTGATATATCCATGATCAACTCTAAATATAAACCTTAGCCTAAACCCAAATTAACGCCAAAAACCTATATTTGCCAACCAAAACCTAATTTGTGCCCAACTCTAAAAGGGGACCATAGGCTAAACCCAAATTAATGCCAAAATCCCAAAATTTTCAACCAAAACCTAACTTATTTTGAGCCCATGCATTGAATGCCTATAATACAAAAAATTTGAACACACATTAATATTATATATTCTTCATGTTGAACAAAAATATGTTTGAAAAAATGAGAATTATTGTTATAAATGGCTAAAATACAAAGGAAAAATGAATTAATGTCTTAATCATAGTCCATTTTCCTAGTTAAATACGTTAATGGTTCAACTAGTAAGGTCCTTTGGTTACTAATTATTATCATCATCATCATCATTTGGTACTGCCACGCGCAAAAATAAATGCGGAAATAAGAATTACTTTTATTGATGATGAAAATGTAATACATGATTTAAAAATCAATCGAAAAAGAAAAAATTGTTTTTCCATCCAAATGGTGGGTTAGTGGTTCAATTATCCATGTCAAATGGATCAACGCATGATGTTATTATTAAATAATAAAATACATAAAATTCTAGAAAATTTAGAAATTTGTAAATAATTTTGGCACATTCTATAATATTATATATTCATAATACAAAAAATGTGTGATTAATGAGAATTATTTTCATTAATGATGGAAATGGGATAAAAATTAGGATAAAAAATAAAGAGAATTAATGCCAAACACATGACCCCACTAACCATGTCAAATGGTTCAATGATTTAATTAGCTAAGTCATTGTAGGCAAGTGGTTTGGTAGGGATGCAAATAGATTGGATTGGATTTGAATCAAGATATATTTGAATTTGATTTGATTCGAAGATCTAATTGGATATCGTAAATATTGATTCAAATCTGAATCCGATTAATATGTTGGATATCCGAATCTGATACGACCTGATTTAATTAAAAAATAGTAAATTATTAAAAGGAAAAGAAAATATAATAATTGAAACAAATAAAAACAAAAACAATATAATTTTTTTTTCAACTATTTTTATCATATAAGAAGTTTACAAAAAAAAACAATATAAATAAATAATAAATAACATATATATTATATATAAATGATATATAATATATATAATTGATTTGACCATAATATTAAAAACCAATATTCAAACAATATATTGGAATTGCATTTCCTTTTGGTAAATAAGTAATTTTTCTTATCTCATAAATTAAATAATAAAAAATAAAAAATATAGATTTTTTTATAAATTTTGTAGAAAAATTTGAACATGCATTAATATTATATATTCTTCATATTGAACAAAAATATGTTTGAAAAATAAAAATTATTGTTAGTAAATGTAGAAATGGCTAAAATACAGAAAAAAATGAATTAATGTCTTAATCATAGTCCATTTTCCTGGTTAAATAGGTTAATGGTTCAGCCAATAAGGTCATTTGGTTGCTGACTATTATCATCGTCATCATTTGATATTGCCACATGCAATACGCCTACGCTGTTACTAGTATATATATATTACTTACGGCTGCACTTCCCTTTTTCTTCTTCTTTTTTTTTCATTCAAAGCCACTATCTTTCCAATGAATAAGCTCTCAAAGAGTCAGACAATTAGGAAAAAATGGTTTGGAACTTGGTAGAAGAATATATTCGCCTCTCTCTCTAGATCTGCTGACTAGATTCATACAAAAAAAATAAAAAAAAAAGCAAAAACTAGATATTGCTGCTAGGCCACAGATTTTAAGTATTGAGCAAAAGAGAGTCAAACTATATACAGTTCTCCCTTTTCTGTGAATAAGATATGATTAAATCCCTATCTTCTGAATATTCAAATTGTTATCATTGACATTACAACAAAAAAAAAAAAAGACGAAAGACAGATACAAAAAACTTTACAAATCAGTTGACTCAGTTGGAATTTAAATAATCTTGATATCTTCTGTGAAGCGAATCAGGCGGCAAATTGGCAAAGCTCGGGCATGGAGGAATGACTGTATAAGTTAATAATATCTTTTTTTTTTATTTATAATAGAAATATGGACTCTGTACATAGCCGTAATGGATACACTGAGTAAGCACACAGTCAACGTGCAACGCAACACCTGTCCCATCTATGCAATAACCAATTAGAACATTTGTTGGTCACTTCCATTTCTACTTTTGATTATTAATCTGATCAGTCCAACTAATAAAACAATGAGTTTGAGCCATTATGCCTGCCACTCTGCCGAGATGATCTTCCATTATCAAATCTTTAAAAAAAAATAAAGAGTTTAACACCCTTCCACAACAAAACATGCATACATGTTACAGCCACTAAAACTTTTGTGTTTTTACCACGCATGAATCGCTATAAATATCTACGCTCACATCGCTTCTCAGTACCCACAAATCACTCCTTTCAGTTTTGGTAGCTGAAATTTCTAGCTACTTCTTTCGTTTATTGTGACTCATTTAAACATTTCGATGGCGACTTCAACTGTGCGGAGAGTGTTGATGTTGCTCTTGCTTGTCATACTGATCCTCATTGTTGTATCAGAGGCACGAGTTCAACATGGGCTTCTGAATATACAGAAGAAGGATATCAACAGCCACGTAATTAGTTTACGTGGGTTAAGGGAGACTCGCCCAGGCAAGATGATGATGGACATTGGATTGACGAGAGTGTCACCTGGAGGGCCGGATCCTGAACATCACAAAGGACTTCCATCGTCGTCAGGTGGCTTAACGGAAACTCGCCCAAGCAAGATGGTGATACACATAGGGTTGATGAGAGAATCACCAGGAGGACCCGATCCTGAACATCACAAAGGACTTCCATCATCGTCTTTGGGTGGGTTAATGGAGACTCACCCAAGTAAGATGGTGATGGACGTAGGGTTGATGAGAGAATCACCTGGAGGACCGGATCCTGAACATCACAAAGGACTTCCATCATCGTCTTTAGGTGGGTTAATGGAGACTCACCCAAACAAGATGGTGGTGGACATAGGGTTGATGAGAGAATCACCTGGAGGACCGGATCCTGAACATCACAAAGGACTTCCATCGTCGTCTGATGTTAGTGTAGGTGGGTTAATGGAGACTAGCCCAAGCAAGAATGTGGACAAACGGTTGATGAGAGAATCACCTGGAGGGCCAGATCCTGAACATCACAAAGGAACTCCATCATTGTCTGGCGTTAGTTTACATGGGTTAGTGGAGACTCACTCAAGGAAGATGGAGATGGACATAGGATTGATGAGAGAATTATCACCTGGAGGACCGGATCCTGAACATCATAAAGGATTTCCATCATTGTCCAGCGTTAGTTTAGGTGGGTTAACGGATACTCGCCCAACCAAGATGGTGATGGACATAGGGTTCATGAGAGAATCACCAGGAGGGCCAGATCCTGAACATCACAAAGGACCTCCATCGTCGTTCTAGACATGCATCGTTGTTCTTAAAGGGATATAGAGTTGCAGGGGAGCAAGCTCTTTCTTGGATGACTGGCTTAATCCGGGAGAAGGTGCAATTTTGTGTATGTTTTCATTCCCACCTTCCAGAGTGGATAAGCCTTGCTTTTCTTTTCGAATGTTGTTTTTATCACTTTATTCCTTCTTGACTATTCTTAACCAACCATATATATGTAAGTATCCTGCAACCAAATATATGCTCAAGTCTTTGTTCTTTTTTATTTTATTTTTTGGTACGAAGATGCAATCAACAAAGCAACACAGAAAGAAAAGTCTACAGAGAAGAAACACAACAAACCAAAAAGAAAATAACTACAAAACAGAATCTAATTGAGAGAAAAACAAAATATATATCGAGGGCCAGTCTGGAAGGGACTCAAAATAGGAGCATGAGTGAGCTCAATTCTGAAAGATATTTTGTTTATTTGCTTGTTTGAGGATTGAAATATTGAAAGAAGTTTCTTTTCCAGTAAATTAAATGATACCCACCCAATCTTGTCTCTCCTGCTTTATTCTTGTGTTTTACACAATCCCGTTCTCAGAATTGCAGCTTAATTAAGATCCTCATGATCAAACACAATGGGTACAGCAGCATTCAAATTGTCAACAAATTAAACACCTCTTACATATCTCATTTCCCTTGACTAAAAGATCATCAGTCGACGTTCCAAGATCCATCGTCCAACATGCATGAACATTGGACAGTGATGAATGAAATTGCACTCATGTTGATTGGGGGTGATACAGTCAACTTGAACCGAAGAACAGAGAATGGAGTACGACCAAGAGGCTTGGTTAGGATGTCAGCAATATGATCACGTGAGGAGATAAACTTGACTTCAAGGAGCTTCTAGGTCACTTGATCTCGTACGAAATGAAAGTCTATTTCTATGCGATTCATACGTGCATGGAAAACCGGATTGGAAGTGAAAAATGTTGCACCCAAGTTATCACACCATAAAACAGGTGGAGAGGCAAGAGAAACTCCAATCTTATGTAAGAGAGAGCGCAACAGAAGCAGCTAGTGCAAGGCTCCTATACTCAAACTCGTAAATTCCTTGTAAGATGATCAAGAGATCAAGTTTGGCCCCATATATATGCAAAAGCCACCATGTGAACGTCGATCATCAAGAAATCTAGCCCAATCTGCGTCAGAAAATGCATGAAGACGCAAGAAAGAGGAAGGTTGGAGTAGCAAGCCATGTGATAGAATGCCTTTGAGATAAAGAAGTATGCACTTCACAGTTGCCCAATGAACATCAGTTGGGGAGTGAAGAAATTGGTATATCGCAAAGGCTATATCAGGCCTAATGAAAGGTAAGATACTGTAGTGCTCCTACAACGCTTCGATAGAGAGAGGGATTAAAGAGAGTGTGGCCATCTAGCTTGCTGAGCATAATTGATGACGTTGTGGGTGTAGAGGCTGGTTTAGCATCAGTCATACTAGCACGTCTAAGATGATCAAATATATACTTTCTTTGAGAGAGAAGCAATGCCTTGGAAGTGTGATGCACCTGGGCCAAGAAAGAAATTAAGAGGCACCAAATCTTTGACAGTAAATGTCAAACTCATTTTCTCTTTTCTTTCATTCCTCCTCTTCCTCTTTTCTTTCTCTTCTTCGGTAACCTTAACGGGGTCTCAACTACTCATCATCTTCTTTAACAACGTTATCAGATGGGGGGACTGAAATTTCGTTACATCTAAAGTATTAGCTAATGAGGTTGAACGGAGATTAGTTAGCGTTTGGGGGTTTAAGGACTTCGGTGGAGGATTCCAATACTGTGGAGAAGTCCTCTCGGCGGGTGATTGAGAAGCAAACGAAAAACCCTTTCAAATTCTTCTCTCCCGCGCAAACGAGAAGCAAACGAAACCCTTTCAAACTTCTTTCGTCTTCCCTCAAACCGCACAAGCAAAAACCCTTTCAAATTCTTCTCTTTATTGATTTTAGGTTTCTAACCCTCTTCCCATCCCTTATTCACAATTTCCTAATTTCTTCGGCAGCTGAGAAGCATTGAACTGTATTAAGAGGTAAGTCACGATTTCTCTCTCCCCCTTTCATCTTCTTCTTATTCTCTCTCTCTCTCTCTCACTTTTTTCTTTTCATTCATCCCTTTTTCTGTAGCAGACCATCAAACCTTCGACAGCTGAGAAGCACCGAACTGTGTTAAGAGGTAAGTCACGATTTCTCTCTCCCCCTTTCATCTTCTTCTTCTCATTCCCTCTCTTTCTCTCTCTCACTTTTTTCTTTTCATTCGTCCCTTTTTCTGTAGCAAACCATCAAACCTTCTCTTTGCCGATTCTAGGTTTCCATCCCTCTCTCTCTCATCTCTTGTCACTCCTTCGGCAGCTGGGAGCCGAACTGAATTCATCTCCGGCAAGGTAAGTCATCAATTTCTCTCTCCCCCTTTCGTTTTCTTTCTCTTATTCTATCCATTAAGCATGATGCCCAAAGCTGTATGTCCTGCTAGGAAACCTTCACAAGAAACCCTAGAATCTGTTAAGAGGCTGATTGATATTTTTTATAGATTTTTTTTCTGAAAATTTCAAAAAATCAGAATTGATTGCAGTAAGGAATACATTCTGTTGTTTGTTTTATGATTAAGACCACTTATGTTTGATCTGTAACATATTTCTGAAGACTATGGAAGTGTTCCTATATTTTTTTGGTCGTATTTGAAAATTTGGCAACTTTTTCTTCCCTCTGTTTTGCTTCCTATCTTTATCAGTCCTTTTGAGTTGTTCTCACTATCTAGATTCCTAAACGGATGCATCCTTTGGATGGATTTTATTGTTACTATTAATATGTTTTGTGTTTTTTTCTTAATATTTTTTTCACATAGTAGAGATGAACAAAAGATGATAATCTATTTCAAGGTTTGATGCTTGAGGTGGATTTGGAATTTTTGTTTACAGTATTGCCAGTTGGTATGTTTTTTTTTATTATGTTTAACAAAAAAAAGTGGCTGAGTTGCTTGGCAATGCTTTAATCACAGTGGATGCATTATTAGTACTTTGAACAATGTTTTATTATTAGTATTATTTTTCTTTTTGGTGATGTGATATTTCCTGGAAACAGTGAAAACTAGAACATTCTTGTTGGAGAACGTCCCATTAATGAAGTACTTGAATAATATGATTGGTTGGTCAAGTTCTTCAATGTGGAATAGTGCAACCACTAGAGCTGTGCATACAGTTGTGCACATCTCATGCCTGACCTTTACAGGACAAATTCTGTCTAATGAAAATTCCAAAAAATAAGACCCATTCGTTCACTAGTTGGGTCGGATCCATGTAGTGTCAAAATTTCTTTGGGGCAGATCCAAAACTACTTATATAATGGTGCTCCAACTTTAATTATTTCTCTAAAGAAATGGAGACCAAAGGTATAATGATATTCAAAATTCCTTGTTTAGGATTCCAAAAAAGGTCAATATGAAATGGAAGGATGATGGGGAAAGCATCACCTTGGCTTCTATAATGCTGGGCTTGCTATAATTTTGCAGTTTATAGGAACTTCGACCATCCATGTTGGCATCTAATGCTGACCTAGCTGAGCCTGTCTGCACCTAGCTGAACAGGTTTCCCAACCTTTCCCCTTCCTTTCCCTAACTGCTTTCAAATGGAACACAACTTAATGGTGACAAACCTTGGCTTTACTTTTAGCCTGCATCTAACTAATCCCACCAAAGTTTGTTTTTCCTTATTTAAAATTTGACAAGGTTTGTAGTTCAGTCATGCCCGGAAAATAAATTGCAGTTAAATTACCTATGTTAACTTTGGTAAATTATCAAACAAGAGGCTTGGGCTGCTATGCCCATTTTATCAGTTCAGTTCTGGCCTAGCTACCTTAAACCAGTATGTAAACATTATCTTAAAACATGAACCTTTTTTTCTTACTACTAATGGTGAATCAAATTGTGCACAATAGAATAGGGGAATTCAAGCTATGTTGAAAGAATTTAAAAATGGAGCATTAAGGATGAAATATGAAATATATCTAGTATTAACGTTGAACATAGATTTCAGCAGAGAAATTGGGGAAAAAGTCCAAGACAAATAAAGAACAAAATAGTTAATTTTACCAGCTAGGGAACTCAAAAAACTAATGGAGAAAGAATTTCAAAGAAAGAAAGAATGGTTGTCAAAAAGAGAGGAAGTGGTGCCAAGATCAAGCTACCATCTTTTCTGCTTTGGAAGCCCAAAGGTTGATTTCATTCAAAATGAAATGCACACTATGTCAAAATGAAATAGTAAAACTGTATATGATGTTTATGGATAAAAGCAATGGGATGTTGGTGGTCTGAAGAGTTTTGATTTCTCTGTTTCTTTTTTCTAAAACTGTATACACTATGTCAAAGGTTGATCTCTACAGCTCATCCCAAACCAAGTAGAACATTTCTCAGTTTCTTTTTTCTAAATTGTAAATCAGCCTCTCTCTCTCTCTCTCTAGATCTCTCATGCATAAACTTACTGTACTTGCAATACACAGGTAAAAGCATGTAACTGATGAAAAATCCTGTTGACGCAAAGCCAATTATGCCATTAATGGATTTTTCTTGAAACCATTGCATTTTAGTTTGATCAATGAGTTGTTACCTGATCATCTTTCGACATATTGTGGTAACCCTTGGCATTAATTAATTAGTTATTAGGGGTATTCTGTGTTTAATTTTATATGACTTCTATGCATAATTTAATTTACAAAAGCATATCAATGGCCCATGCAATGGTTTTTGTGAACTTTGAACAACCCAAAATCCAAATCACTTGGTTGAAACTATCCAATCACAATTGGTGGCATTCATATGTGAGAAAAGCTTATGTGGTTTCCATCTCACTTCTTGTGATACAAGGTAAGGACCTTAGCAAACTCTTGTCAAAACATGTTAAATGTATATAGGGAAAGAAAGTAAATGACCAACCTTGCCTTGAAAGAGGCCAAGCTGTCAATTTAAGCATCATATACGAGGGATTTTGACTGTGAAGTAAAGGATTATTAGTAACTTTACATGCTGTAATACATGGAAGGTGGGTCTTATTGTTTCTTTAATTTCATCATTATTGAAATCTGTATTCTTGCCATGTGGCAATCTTTCATCACCAGTACCTACTTTCCCTCTGTAGTTTAAAGTTTAAACTCCATACTTACCTCAATACTTATCCAATATTGTGATTTAAACTATAAAAAGTAACAAAACCTGATTATGTTATGTGATGTTGTTTTATGTCCTTTACTTCTAAGGAGTTGTCTCTTCTGAGATTTTCAACTGTAGGAGTTCTTTTCAAGTGTATGTAGCAGGTATATATTGTTCCAAGTGTATGTAGCAGGAATTACAATGTGCTCCATGGTTGCTTTGTTTGGAAGAACAACCTCAAACCCTTGAACATTAGATGAATAGAATGAAATTGATAAATATGACAGGGGATAATTTTTGTTTCCTCCAAATGAATACCATATATTTTGTGTTGTTTAGGAGGTTGGGGGGAATACTGTATGTGGATAAATAATTCAACTGTAGACTCCTTTATCATTAAGAATTGTACTTTTCAAAGCATAGGTGATAGATTTTACCTATAGAATTTCACCAAGTGAAGCAGGTTCTGGGTGAATATGCAAAGAATTCTTGGTGACAATTATAAGCTTTTGAAATTTTGACATGTAGGAGTGGATTTGCAATCCAAGAATGACACCTTTCTATATGGCAACTTCCAATCCAAGACCAAGAGTCATCTGTAGTGTAGTTTGTAGGCATTCAAATTCTTTACTTTTACTTTCATATGGTTTTTGGTTTGAGTTTTTAATGCAACTGACAGACTGAACAATAGCAGCTCTGGCCAACCAAAACATTAATTCGTTTGAGTTTTGACTGAATTTAACAATGAGAATGCCATCTTTTATTATTTTAGTAATTGGTAATTTACCTTTGTCTATTATAATCCTTCTATAGGTGTAATTTGCCAAGTGTAAGTTATTTTCATGATTATCCACATTAAACATAAACAAATAGAACATCTCAATGACTCATTTCCTTATTGTCTTCCCATTGTCCTTTAATTTCTGTTTGCTATTTTTGAGTTCCAAATTTCATCTCAGGTTAGATGGTCTCATTTTTCAATGTTTTGGTTACCTAGGTTGAACCAAACATGGCCTTAATTTCCTCTCCATAGTCCATATTTGATCAATAGCCTAGTGATAGTGAGGAAGAGGAAGTTATTAGTTAATACTCTTGCAATTTCTTCTAAAGTCCCCCCGACTGCTAGTGGGTGGGCTAATGTTACTCAATTTTATTTTTGAGTTCCAAATTTCATCTCAGGTTAGATGATCTCATTTTTCAATGTTTTGGTTACCTAGGTTGAACCAAATGTGGCCTTAATTTCCTCTCCATAGTTCATATTTGATCAATAGCCTAGTGATAGTGAGGAAGAGGAAGTTATTAGTTAATACTCTTGCAATTTCTTCTAATCTCCCCCCGACTGCTAGTGGGTGGGCTAATGTTACCCAATTTTACCATGGCCACAGTAAAATCCCTCGTGAAGAGACCATTGTTGAGATTATAGGATTGGATCCGCTCATCTTGCGACCCATTATTGAAGAGCTCTTGATCTGAATGAAGGAGCCTAGGCCAAGCAACAAGGTTCTGGTAGTAATTGTTGTCAAATTGATTTATGGTCTGAAGTTCAAGTGGTGCTAATTAAAGGGGCATTCTACAATGTGAATTGTTTTTCTTGTTGCTGGTTCTAAAAACAAATCAAAACCATTTCATTTGAAAACAGATTGTTTCTTAAGACAAAAACACAAAATAATATGTTCTTCGCTATGTATTTTTTGTTTTTTGAAACAAAATTTGTTTTTTTGTTATTTTTAAATATTTTCTCACTTTCTTATCCTCAAGTCCTTGAAACCTGAACTAGTTTTTTAATATGTTTACTCCCTTCTCCATTACTTTTGTTGAAAGCTTTTTATTGATGATAAAAGGGCTGCACCTACTGCAATGTGGTTTATTATCATCTGTGAGCTGTAGCAGCTAGAGGTCTTTTCCCCCAATGGAGCTCTATTCTCAGTTCTGCATATGAGCTCTATTATCATCTGTATATTGGGAATTCTTGTACTGTTAATAACAGTATTGCTGAATCTATAATTCAACAAGAGGTTAAAAGAAAGCCAAAGACAAAAAGGTTGCTATGTGATAGAGAAAATCAAACTAATAGAGAAAGATTAGAAGAAAAAATAGATAATTGTCATAGAAGAGAGATACTTGGAGCAAGCTCCCACAATGACAATTCACTAAAACACTACTTTTCTATCCATAACAACCATAAACTTCATTAATTGTGAAGAAAGAATGATAGAGGTACAAATTTTACATTGCACAAAGCACTCTGTCTTGATAGGCTAGCCCCAACTCCCTACCCTTATGGCATCTTTTATATTTTCTTTTATGGTTAAGCAGCTTGGAAAACAATCCCCTAGTACATCTGGCTTCTATTGATACTTGTCTTGCTAATGCATCAGCTAACCAATATGCTGATCTTTGAACCTAGTTGGTGCTCTCTTATCTTCCTTACCAAGCCCTTCACTAATATCATGATATATTTGCATCTCCCGGATTTTTCCATATTATTGACCAAAACCAACTATATGAATTCCATTTGCCATGGGCTGATAGGCAACTACATGGATGACTTGTTCAACTACTCCTTTTTTTATCGACAACAGAAAATAGAATTCATTTTTTTTGATGAATAATAGTAAGTTTATTGATTCAGAAGCAAATTAGAGTGAGTTCATACATCATCCTAGTGAGAGGCGCAAGCTGCAGCCCCTCCTTGAAACTTACAAGTAAACTACGAAAGAAAAACAAGAATCACAAYTGAGCCCAAAATAATTCTTCTCTATTTACCCCTTGCTTAGCTAACACATTTGACAAGGTATTTGCTGATCTCCCCACCCATTGTACAGTGACCAACATATTCCTTGTCAACCAACTAAATTTCTTCATTTCATTCTTGTATTGCCACATAGCCTCTTCAGAATTTTTCAACCAACCYACCACCACTTTGGAATCCCCCTCGATTATTAGTTGTTGTACCCCTAACTGGTTTGCAAATTGGACCCCTTGTACAGCAGCTAAAAGTTCTGCCGTGATGGAATTCCCAATTCCCAAAGGACCTGAGTAGAGCAACAAAATCTCTCCYTTCTCATTTCTCAAAGCACCCCCAATTCCGGATAATCCTGGATTACCCATGCTGCTTCCATCAAAGTTCAACTTAATTGAGCCTTCGGGTGGAGGAGACCAGCTTGTAATTGATTTGGCCTTTAAAGATGAGCACCTTGCTACTGCTAACCAATTTCTCCAAATGTCATTAAAGGARAATTGACGAAAGATTTCCAAGGTCTTCAGCCAATGTATTGCCCTGTTTAACACATAGTCTTTCAAATCTTAGTTGTTCCTTTCCTTATCTTGAAAAATTCTGAGATTCCTTTCTTCCCAAAGAGTCCAAGTCAAGGCAGCACRAGCACATCTCCACATAATTCTCCCTATTTTTGTAGGCCAATAAAAGGTAGAATGGTTGAAGAGAATGTGAACTTCTGCTAGTAGACTCCAACTACCCCCAAACAACGAAAGTAGCCAAGCCCAAAGGTCTGCAGAAAAGGGAC